GAGAGAGAGAGAAACCGCATGTTTCTACACACTTTTCTGCCTCCTCCCCCGCTGGGAACGATCCTGCTGAGGGAGAGAGAGAGAGAGAGAGAGAGAGAGAGAGAGAGAGAGAGAGAGAGAGAGAGAGAGAGGGATATTTTTTTACATTTAATCTAGAGTTGTCAGAGTCTAGAGTAGAGCAAATTTGGTGCCATCGCTCCACTAACTCTAGACTACCCAACTCTAGAAATAAACGGGACTTCAAAAACAGAGAAGAGACAAGCCTTATCTTCTTACGCTAGAGGTGGTTGTCGACCCAGACACGAGGCCGACTCTCAATTTGCAAGGCGGCATCAAGGGTACAAACGACCACACTTGAAAAACTTGTCGTCAAAGGCAGACACTCTAGAGCGATCTAGAAACTGCAACCAGGGATACAGCTCTAGAAAACGATTACTAGAGTTCCGTTGTAGGCCTAGTGAAGCGACACTTTGCTCAATATGTTTTCTTGAGTAACTCCTGACAACTCTATAAATAAAAATTCACTGTAGATTTCTAGAGTAAGGGCATACTCACACTAGCACGTACAATCGCAAATTATATGTGAGCCAATTTTCGATTATACGGCACTTCCCAGTCACACAGCACACCCGTATACGTTACAAAACAGAAAGGACACAGAGCCTCGCTGCACTACTCATGAAATGTGCTTTTTCATGAGCTGCGCATCGTTGCATTTACTCGTGAATTTGGCCGTCCGAAAACACATCAAGAGTTGTCAGACGTTACTCTTGCATCCGTCAAGAGTTGTTGCCACTGCACTACTCTTGCCTTGTCGCTCGTGAAAATGCTTTTCACGAGCTGTCAGGGCATCGCCGGCACGCCTGCCTGCAACCACGGTTTTTGCAAGGGTGGTCGGATGGTTTCTTGAAAGGGTGCGGGATTTCTAGAGCGAGTCTGGGTCTGGATGGACAAACCAGGCTGCACGACACTCCAGGATGCATGAGGGCGTGACAAGAGTGCTTCAGGAGCCGGAATATCTAGAGTAAGTGCAGCCACGACCGAACTCTAGGCCATTTCGGGACTCTGACAACTCATGCCGCACTCTTGATTTTTTTCACGAGTCATGAGTACTGCAGCAAGGCCCACAGTCTCGACCCGCTCTAGGAATGCGATTATACGAGCCGAGGGGTGCACAACACGATGCATAAAAATCCATCCCTTTTTCCTGATTTTTTTTCTTCTTAAGCCACCAGTACCTCGACCAGCTATCGGTCACGGGCCTTCCCGTATACGCGCCGCAGCTCATGTGGGGTCGGCCATGGGAAGGGCCGGTCGTTGCTAGGACGCCGGGCCCCGCTTCTTTTGGGACGACACACTGTACATTTTCTCAAAAACAAGAAAAAAAAAGAAGAAAAAACAAAAGGAAAAAAAAAAGAAAACAACGTGAACGCGCCGTAACTTCCCGTTGAGAGAGAGAGAGAGAGAGAGAGAGAGAGAGAGAGAGAGAGAGAGAGAGAGAGAGAGAGAGAGAGAGAGAGAGAGAGAGA